ATAACCAGCTGCATGAAAAATTTTTATTGCACACGGTACAATGAAAGAAATGCTCATTAAATGACACTTTGCGAATCCAAGATTTGAAACGTTCATCACTAAGCCAAGCTTCCGAAAATCTTGGCTTCAGATTTTTTTTTAATTTATTAATTGTTTCTATGTTAAAATTAAAATATCTAAAAACAGAATATAAAACAAGTGTGATAAATAAAATTAACGCTAGCTAATCACACTTATTTTCGAGTCTTTAAGTCGCCCCACTCCGGTCCGTGAGACTGCTTCACTTTGTCGCATTGTAATTTTTATTCTAATTAATATTCAGCGGTCTACTGGACTGAAATGTGGAGGACTAGGATTAATTAAACAGATTAAAAATAGAAATACTTGAATATATATAATTCGTCACTTGATCTTTACGAGACGAAAATTCGTCAGTTCGCTAATATCACAATTCAAAATAATTTAACAGTTAAGATTAGATATACTGTCACTGGGGAGCACACAGTCAACTGTTTCGGTCCTTTTGTTTAAGAGGACTCAGCTGATTTTGAGGTCGTCTTGACAACCGATCAGCTATTGTCGCCTTAGATGTTTATTATATCAGGTGTTTATCACGTGCAATTCAACTGAAAACGCTTTCATAATTCAACGTTAACGCGCGTGTCATGATCGTCACACTCGCTATATGTATATGGGACATTGTCGCTAGAATTTTCACATTTTTACCCTGACCTATTGCAATAATTTTGACAACTTTTTTCCCGAGAAGTATTTTGAAAAAGAGAAGACAAGTATTTTTTTTTGTTTGGACCTATGATCAATATTTGATCGCACCAACGTGTGATTTTTGTAAAAATTAAATTTTTCGATAGCTCTACTTTTTAAAACGTTAATATCTTGGAATGAAATTTGTTCAGTTTAAAATGAATTACATGATGTATATATTTGATGTATATATTAGTTTTTCGATAAGATTAAACATTTCCCAGATGTTAACATTTTAAAAAGTAGTTACCAAAAAATTTAATTTTTAAAATTACACTATCGAAAATATTAATCGTAGATCCAAACAAAAAAATACGTGTCTTGTCTTTTTTAGAATACTTATTGGAAAAAATTGTCAAAATTATTGCAATAGGTCAAAGTAAAAATGTAAAAATTCATTTATTATATGTTATATTTATTTATATTTATTTTATTTTTATATATATAGCTTATTTACTATATTTATTAAATTATTACTACTATTTCTAAAAGACAAAAAAGTAGTCTTCGGCTATATGCTGCAGATGATGATATTGCTGCTGATCCCTCTTCGTTTGACATGCAGGAATAACAAAAAGTTAATGATTTTTTACCTCTTTTTTTTAATAGCAAAGCATTATATCAGTTACAGCTATGTAAAAGAAATAATATTTAATATTATGCAATATGTATTATATAATTTTATTTTATTATATATATATATATATATATATATGTTTGTGTATATATATATATATATAATTTATTATACGTATATTATATTTATTTACATTTATTATTTATTTTATTTTTATATTAACAGCTTATTTACTATATTTATTAAATTATTAATTTTATTTTTTCTGAGATGAGCTGTATATGCGATATTTATATTATATTATACAATTTTAGTTATCTTTTTGACGAGCAATAAGTGCAATTTCTTATATATATTACATAATTTTATTTGTCCCCCTGACAAGCTACGATCATTTCATAGTGTTATTTTTTAGTGAAATAGGCCTACGGGGGACACCACTTTAAAAAAAAAACGCGTCTATAATAGTACCTCTTAGGTTACGTGGAAAACTATTATACAATTATATTAATTATATTTTTTTAATATTTTATTTTATATTTTATATTTTATATATTTTTTATATTTTATAATAATTATAATTTTATATGTACATAGCCTCGCGGATAGACGAGAGCATTTCGTCGCGTCGCGCCGTACGGCCGAAAAAATCCTTCCTTCGCGTTCACGAGAGACTTCTCGCTGTTTGCCAGGCTGACTGGTAGTACGGAAGGATTCAGCGCGCGAGAAAGAGACAGAACATAATGTGACTGTCCTCGTCTAGTATTCCGAAGCCAGCCGAAGCTCGAAGACGGACCGCCAAGCGCGCGTAGTATCCCCACCAATCCCCACTACTCGATTTACGAGTCAGGCTGGGGTCTAGAATTAGCAGCTCTGATGGAAAGAGAGAAAGATGAGGTGGAAGCTGGGGGAAATCGCGAGATTGGAGGAGAAAAGAGGAAGAAGGGTGAGAATAGGATACGGAAAGCTATGGACAGATGAGCAATACTGGAAATGGGATGAGGAGGAGGAGGTCTTAAGGAATGGGAGGGGGGAACGAAGAAGAGAAGAAGAGGGGGGAGAGAAAAGAGAGGGAACAGAATAGCTCGTCACTGGACCCAATGTTCGTCAGGAGGAAAGCCAGCCCGAGGAGGACAAGTATGCCACTACCAAGTTGAGGAATAAGTGTAAGCAGGACAAAAGGAAGGATGGAGGGGAGAAGAGAGGGAGGAAAGAAGGGAATGGAACGTAACTTTTTGGAATGTGGCCGGGCTAGAGAATAAAGACAGTGAGTTTTGGATAGGGCTGAAAGAATGGGATGTGATGGTGCTGTTGGAAACATGGCTGGATGATAAAGGGTGGAAAAGAATCAAGGAGAGGTTGCCGGGAAGGTATGAATGGGAAATGCAAACGGCGAAGAGAGAGAACAAGAAGGGAAAGGCGAAGGGAGGAATGGTCATGGGTATAAAGAAGGAGTTGGCGGAGAAGGAGGAAAGGATTGTGGGGGCAGGAGAGGAGATCATGACGGGGCAAGGTGAGGGTGGGGGAGGAGAGATGGAGGATAGTGGGAGTCTACGTTGGAGAAGGCATGGAGAAGGCCTTGAGGGGGCTGGAGAGGTGGGTGGAGGACAAAGAGGCAGGAGTTAGAGTGTTGATGGGAGGGGACTTCAACGCGAGAACAGGGGAAGAAGGAGGTGAGTTGGAAGGGGTGGAAGGGAGAGGGGGGCAAGGAGAGAGACGATCAAAGGACCGGACTATTAATAGGGAGGGTAGCTTGATGCTGGACTTTCTGGGGGAAAGAGGGTGGTGCATCTTCAACGGGAACACAAGAGGAGACGAAGAGGGAGAGTTTACATATATCGGGGGAAGGGGGAGCACAGTGATTGATTATATAATTGGGGAAGGAGAGACAAAGGACAGAGTAGAAAAAATGAGGATAGGGGACAGGGTGGACTCCGATCACCAACCGGTGGAAGTATGGTTGAAAGGAGAGTGGAGAAGCGGGAAAGGGCACAAAGATGGAGAAAGAGTATGGAGGGGGGTATGGAACGAAGAAGAGAGAGAAATGTTCGAGCGGAAGCTAGGGGGGTGGAGCTGGGGGAGAGGGGGCTAGAAGAGGAATGGGAGGAGGTGGAAGGAAGGGTGAAGGGAGCAATGAAAGAGACAGAGGAGGAACTGAATAAGAAGGAAAAGAGGAAAATGGGCTGGTGGGATATAGAGTGTCTGGAGAAAAAGAGGGAGGCAAGAGGGGAATTGAGGAGGTGGAGAAGAAAGGGTGGGAGGGCAGAAGAATGCAAAAGAACGAAGCAAGAGTTCAGAGAGCTGTGCAAGAAGAAAAGGAAGGAGGAGAACGAGAGGTGGGAAAAAAGAGCGGCGAAAGTGAGAAGAAAAAGTGAAGTGTGGGAGATAGTTAATAGAGAGAGGAGGAAGAGAAGGAAAGTGATGGAAGGGATAGAGATGGCGGAGTGGAAGGAACATTTCATGAGGCTGCTCGGGGGGGTGGAAAGCAGGGTTGTCAAAGGAGGAAGGGAAATGAGGCGGGAGGGTGAGGGAGCGAGGAGGAAATAAATAAGGGAGAAGTGAGAAGGACCCTAAAGAAATTGAAAGAGGGGAAGGCAACAGGGGTGGATGGTATTCCGAGTGAGGTGAGGAAGCACGGGGGGGAAGAGTTGGAGGATTGGGTGAGAGGGTTTTGCAATAAAGTCTGGAGGGAAGAAGGTGGCCGGAGGGCTGGAAGGAAAGAGTGATTGTGCCCATAGCGAAGAAAAGAGAGGGGGAGAGGGTGGAAAACTACAGAGGGGTCACCCTGTTATCCACCCTATATAAGATATACGTGACGGTGTTAGCGGAAAGACTGAGGGAGGAAGTGGAGGGTAAGGGGATCATTCCGCCGAGTTAAACAGGATTCAGGAAGGGGATGGGGACGGTGGACAACATTTATGTGCTTAATTATCTAGTGAACAAACAACTGGAGAAAAAAGGGGGAAAGGTGGTGGCGTTGTTTGTGGATCTAAAGGCGGCCTTTGACTCGGTAGATAGGGAGGTGTTGATTAGGGCGTTGAGGGAAAGAGGGGTTAGGGAGGGTCTGGTAGAGAGAATAGAGGAAGTGCTGAGAGAGACGAGAAGTAGGGTTAGAGTGGGTAAGGAACTGGGTGAGAGTTTCTGGACAGCAAGAGGGGTAAGACAGGGGTGCCCGCTGAGTCCGCTACTGTTTATTATATTGTTGGCGGACTTGGAGGAGGAGATGAAGAAGGTCAAGTGGGGAGGAATCAAGTTGGGAGAAGGAAGGGTGTATGATTTAGAGTATGCGGATGACATGGTGTTACTGGCGGAGGAAGAGGATGAAATGAGAAGTATGATGGAGAGGCTGGAGAGATACCCGGATAAGAAGAGGTTGGAGCTTAATGCGGAGAAAACCAAGATCATGAGGTTTAGAAAAGGAGGAGGAAGAATGGTGAAAAGAGACTGGTGGTGGAAAGAAAGAAAAGTGGAGGAGGTGAAAGAGTTCCGATACTTAAGATATACGTTGCAAAGGAATGGAGGGCAAGAAGCACACGTGAAGGAAAGGGTCAAGAAGGCGGCGGCGGTCATGGGGCAAGTCTGGGGGATAGGAAAAAAGAGATTCGGGAAAGATTGGGGGAGAAGGCTTTGACTATTTGACAAGTTGGTTTGGACGGTAATGGGATATGGGGTGGAAATATGGGGATGGGAAGAAAAGGAGGGGATGGAGAGACTGGAAGAAAGATACTTGAGATGGGTGTTGGGAGTAGACAGGAGGACGCCGGGGTACCTGGTGAGGGAGGAGCTACAGAGAGAAAAACTGAGAGGCAGGGCAGGCAGGAGGGTGTGGAAGTTTGGAAGAAGGCTGGAGGAGGGTGGAGGAAGTGAGCTGGCGAGACGGTGCTGGGAGGAAGTGAAGGAGAAATCAAGGAGAAGAGGGAGGCTCTCGGATTGGGAAGAAGGCAGGAAGAAGTATCTGAGCGACAGAGGCTTGTGGGAGGAGGGAGAGGGGGAGAAAAAAGGTGAACAAGAGGCAAGATTGGAGGAGATGGTGAAGTGGGAAAGAGAGGTACAAAGAGCGGAGAGATGGGAGAGAATAAAGGAGTCCAGATACAGTAAATGGTACAAGAAAGTGAAAAAGGAAGGGATACCGGAGTATTTAAAGAAAGGGTGGGGGGAAAGCAGGTGAAACAGAGTGGCGAAATTTAGACTGGGGAATGAAATGAGGGAGGAAAGGCACTGGGAGGAGGAGGAGAAAAGGATATGCAGATTGTGCGAAAGAGAGGAGGAGACATGGGAACATACGTGGGAACGGTGTAGGGAGTGGGACGGGGAAGGGGGCGGTTGGCAGGAGGTAAGGAGATGGGTACTGGGAGAGAGGAGGGAGGGAGAATGGTGGATGAGGGAGATCGAGAAAGACAAAAGCAGGAGGGAATACATTGAAGGGCTGGAGGGTGAGAGGTGTGATTGAGGTGAAGGAGAATGAGGGAGAGAATGTGTGATAAGCCGATTAGAAGGAAATGGGAGCGGGTTGATTTGAAAATCGGAAACAAGAGGAAACGGAAGTCATGATTTGCCCTTTTTGCGGAGAGGGTGTGTGTGTGTGCGAGCGGCGGGTGTGGGTGTGGGCGGACGCAAAAACAAAATAATTTAGAATTTTGTAATAAGTAAAAAAATTAGTTTTTTTACAAATAAGTATAATATGTTTTAATTTGTCACTTACAGATGCTGTGAAAAAGCGGTACAAAAATATTGATGATTGTGTCATTGAAAGTACAATAATTGATTGGTTCCGGCGAGCATCGGATAGGATTCCGAAGATTCGCGATGAGGCGAAATAATTTCTATCAAAGTTAATTTATCTACGATTTTCTATCTCACAATCCGCTGTGGTTCAAAAAGAAGCAAGATCCGTACACGAACAGTCGTTGTTTCGTTTATAATGGCAAATATTGGGATTACAAGAGCAGAGGTGACTGCGGTCGCGATGTCCAAACATATTTTAGTTTGTTATATAGATAGATTCCATTGTGTGATGTAACTTTGTCACATACACATGCAATGTGCAGAGAAATTTTAGATCGTTCAAAAGTGACGGTAGCCGAGATTAGAAGTCGCGACCGTTCGCGGTCAAGACTTTAAATGCTTATGAAATAACGTTGACGTGATAATGGGGTTGTTATGGGATATGGTTTAGCAATTAATTCTTCCAATGAAGTGGACGAAACTTGTTGGCAACTCTGACATGTGCAATGTGTAATTTGTACTTGCATGTCATCGCCATCGCCTATTCTTTAACTCTTCTACTTCTGTCCCTTTTCTCCCCTCTTTTTCTTCCCCGTCTTTCTTTTCGTCTATTCTTTTTTCTAGTACTGAAGTAATATTTAGTCCAACGTGATGTTTGATTAACATGCGCTTGCGTGCTCTTTTTTTTTAAGATTTTGCGCTGAATTAATGAATAGTCAATCTTGAATTTTTCAGTTCGATTTGTAAGTGCGTTTTATTATACATATTAGGTATATGTATGAGTTCGTAAAAAATTGAAACTTTCAGGCAATTCGAATGAATTCCGGATATTATTTTTAGCCTAAAACTGAGAGATAGCAATAAGACCGTATAGAAAAGGAAAAAACCTAGTGTCATTAGAGAGGAAGGATTTCGAAGTTACATGTTCCACTTTATAATATATTCAGTATTCTCAACTTATTTTTAAACGAATATGAATTTAGTTTTCTAGAAATTAATCCGAGTTTAAGTTATACCGCACTCAATCGGTGCTGCTATATATACGAAAATTGTGTGTATTTTATTATTTTTAATCCATTATTGAAAGTATTTGTGTAAACGCAGATAGATGTGCAATGAGGAATAGAATCGAGCCGACATTTGACATGAATTAATATAAAAGATGCTCTGATTTTTCTTTTATATATGATCTTTTACATCATTTTTATAGAAATAAAGAACACCTCCATATCTTAAGAAGCCAATTGAACTTCGACACGCATCGGTATTTGTAATTTTTCCCTTGTTGCACACTTTCTGCTTGACCTAGTGTCACAACAAAAAAAATCTGAAAAATATTCGAAGTGGAAATAAATCCTTACGGTATTGTACGTGAATTCGAAGATCCGTGCAACTGCACACGTTCAAAGGTTTATTCAGTGATTTATAAATACGCGCGCGCGAGAAGATAGACATTTGATCAACATTTTACACACGTAATATAACGCCGACGACGATGATGCTTCCAAGTTTGGCCAGCGTTGTTCTATGGAAAAAAGGAGAAAAAAAAAGAAATCATGCCATTTCACGTCCGCACAGATTTCAAGCACGCTAGAAGCTACGCTCCGAGTTTTCAATCAATTTTAGAAGTGTTTGGAAACATCTAGTTATCATTACTATTATATAAAACGCGACTGTTTGTCTGTCCGTCCGTCCGTCCGTCCGTCCGTCCGTCTGTCCGCGAACTACTCATTCGTTAGTGGACCGAATTTTTACCACGAGTATATGAAATAGGGGTAGAATTTCCCGGGGAGTGCCATAAAGTATATAGTTTTTCGTTACCGATTTTCTGGAAAACGATTTTTTTAATTTTTTTAATTTTTCTGTCTGATCGCGAACTATATACTCATTCGTTAGTGGACCGAATTTTTACCCCGAGTACATGAAATAGGGGTAGAATTTCCCGGGGAGTGCCATAAAGTGTACAGTTTTTCGTTACCGATTTTCTGGAAATCGATTTTTTTTATTTTTTAAATTTTTCTGTCTGATCGCGAACTACTCATTCGTTAGTGGATCGAATTTTTACCACGAGTACGTGAAATAGGGGTAGAATTTTCTGAAGAGTGCCATAAAGTATATAATTTTTCATTATCGATTTTCTGGAAACCGGTTTTTCTAATTTTTCTAATTTTTAAGTCTGTCTGTCTGTCTGACCGCGAGTAATCGCTCGCGGTCAATTTCTGGAAACCGATTTTTTTAATTTTTTTAATTTTTCGGGAAATAATCGATCGAATTTTAAAGAATTGTATATGAAATATACATGCTCGATTTGCTCAAGTGACGTCATTAATCGCTCGCGGTCAATCAGGATAAGTTGCTGCATTCACATATTATATGTCATCTATTAAAGACAAATCGCAAGGAAAGAGGAGAAAGAAGAAAAAGAATATTCATAGATCATTATAGATATAAGAAAGAGAAAGAGAAAGGGAGAAAGAGAGAAAGAGAGAGAGAAAGATAGGGAAAGAGAGAGAGAGAGAGAGAGAGAGAGAGAAAAAAAAGGTATGTATTTTAAATATCAAATTTATATGTTGATGTCTTTTCATCTCTCCATATCTCTTTGTTTAATTTCCTTTTTAGTTTAATATCGTATTGACTTTTTGTCTTTTTTACAAATATTTAATCTTACACAAAAAAACGTTAAAACCTGTTTTATCCTGTTTCCGTTATAAAGATTTTAAAGATTTTTTCCTGTTTCCTAAGATTTTTTCCTGTTCCCTGTTTATTTCCTGCTTCTATTTTTCCATTCCTTTGGATTTAAAGGTAAATAATAATTTTGGTAAATAATAATTGACTTTATTGAATATTCTGATTTATCTATATATAATAATAGTATGATATAGATAATGTTACAAGTTTGCTTTTTATATTCTGATTATCTATATTATTATCTATATTATTTATATCTACATTATCTGTATAATGATAGTATGATATAGTATAGATAATGTTACATTAATGATTAATTTGATTTTTATTTATTATCTCTCTGAATTG